GTCTGTTTATTTCTACCTCTGTTTATTTCTCTGTTTATTTCTGTCTCTGTTTATTTCTGTCTCCCCTTCTCTGCCTCTGTTTATTTCTGTCTCTTTTCCTCTGTCTCTGTTTGTTTCTACCTCTGTTTATTTCTGTCTCTGTTTATTTCTGTCTCCTCTCTGTCTCTGTCTAGTTCTGTCTCCTCTCTGTCTCTGTTTATTTCTGTCTCTTTTTTTCTCTACGTGTACTTCTGTCTCTCCTCTCTTTCTGTCTCCTTTTGTCCCTGCCCGTTTTTGTCTCCTTTCTCTGTTTATTTCTCTCTCTTCTTCTCTATGTTTATTTCTGTCTCCTTTCGCTGTTTATTTCTGTCTCCCTTCTCTGTTTACTTCTGTCTCCTTTCTCTATTTCTGTCTCCTCTCTGCTTTTTCTGTCTCCTTCTCTGCGTCTCTGTTTATTTCTGTCTCCTTTTCTGCGTCTCTGTTTATTTTTGTCTCCTTTTGTCTTTGTTTATTTTACCCACGTCTAATTTGCTAGCGGATGCAAAAAGATCTGTCTCTTCTTCTCTATGTTTATTTCTGTCTCCTTTCGCTGTTTATTTATGTCTCCCTTCTCTGTTTATTTCTGTCTCCTTTCTCTCTTCCTGTCTCCTCTCCGCTTTTTCTGTCTCCTCTCTGCTTTTTCTGTCTCCTATTCTGCGTCTCTGTTTATTTCTGTCTCCTTTTGTCTTTGTTTATTTTACCCACGTCTAATTTGCTAGCGGATGCAAAAAGAAGTGTGGGGTTTATTCGTAGCCTTCGTCATGAAGACTACCCAATCAAAAGGCAGCAGCAACAGCAGCAACAGCAGCAGCAGCAGCAGCAGCAGAAGGGACACCAAGGCCGCGTAAAGGGTATGCGACGTCTGTGCAGTTCCTGCTGCTGTTGCTGCTGCACTTTTTTCTGCTGCTGCATTTCCTGCTGCTACAAAGAAGCTCCCAAACGCTGCTTCTGCTGCAGCTGCTACAGCAGAAGCAGAAAGCAGCCGACTCCCGCACCCGCTGCTGCTGCACCACTAGCAGCTGCAGCAGCAGCAGCAGCAGTTTACTTAGTGATAGTATGGGAGCCATACGGCTGCCGGGCGTCGGGGGGGAGAGGCATAAAGGGCCCCAAAGGAAATGAGACAAGCTGAGCGTATGCTGCAGCAGATAGAGATGTCTCTATATCTGTTAATTGCATAGAAGGAGACGGCAGAGGGATAAAAGGAAAAGGAGACAAAGAGAACCCATAGATGTCTCTAAATGCACTCTCCCCATACACCATACCTTCAGAAGACCCCACACCCCCTAAACATCGTCCTCCCCCACCTATACGCCCCTGAGAAACTGGGGGCCCCCCTATAAGGGGGCCCCCACCTAAGGGGCCCCTACTATGCTCAGCAGCATGTCTCCTATGCCGCGAACGAGGCTCATACCGAGGAGCTGCAGAAGGGGGGGCCCCCTCCCATCCGCTGGGTATTGAGCGCACAGGAGAGCGGTGGGGGCCCCCACTGTGGGCCCCCCAGCTGAGGTTTGCTGCACCAGCCGCACTCCCTGGGGGGCCCCCACGTACAGGAGCCTCTGAGGGGGGCCCCCCTAGCAGAGGCGCTCTCCTGTGGTAGTGGGGTGTATGAGGCTTGTGTGTATGGGGGTGCTGATGAGAGAGGGGGCCCCCAGCAGGTGGGGGCCCCCCTGGAGGAGGGGGGCCCCCTGCACCACCACCTCCCCCTCCTCTTTGTTGAGTCAAAGTCTCTTCATGTGCTGATGAAGAAGCAGAGGAGGCCCTATGCCCCCCATGTGCTGCAGCAGCAGCAGCAGCAGCAGAAGCAGCAGCAGTCTGAGCAGTAGCTGCTGCTGTTGTTCCTCCTGCTGCTGCTGCTGCTGCTGTTGCTGCTGCTGCTGCATTGTTGGAAGCCCCTCCACCTCTTGAAGGAGAAGAAGCAGCGAAATGAACAAAGACAACTCTACCATCAATAATCCTTTCACTCATCTGAACAGCTTTAAAAGCCTCAAGAGGCGAGGAGAAGTTAAGAAAACCGTATCCTTTGCTGCGCCCCTCAGCATCACGAACAACAACGCACTCCTCTAGAACACCAAAGCAAGAAAATGCTTGTTTAAGGGTCTCTGCTGTTGTATTCTCATGAAGATTCCTTACAAACAGCTTCGTCTGTTGTCGAGAAGGTAGAGCATTTGCAGCTAGCTTTATATGAAGCTGTCTCCCTTCAAGAATAAGGGGGCACGCAAAAAAGCATTTACTTACTCCTTCAGAGCTTGAGAAGGTAACAAACCCGTATCCTCTACTCTGACCGTCTCTCTCTCTCACAATTAAGGCATCTTCTACTCCGCCAAAAGACAGAAAGAAAGCCCTAAAGCTCTCATCTGTTGTACAGAAAGGTATGTTTCTAACCATCAATCTTCGTGAAGAAGGAGAAGCATGCACTCTCTCTACACACCGTAGATACACCTGACGGTCTCTTAAAGCTGCCCAAGATAATAAATCTAACAGCTGTTCTCGAGATAAAGGAGAGAAAAAATCTCTCAACGATGCCTCTGTGCTCTCCTTATCATCACCACCTATCTCATTTCCTATGCAACATACACCTGAACCACACCCCACACTCGATCCCCCATCCACCCCACGATCCCGATCCCGATCCCGATCCCCATCCTCTCCTTCTAAACTACACACCTCCACTTCCCTCTTCTCCTCCACGTCATTCAACTCCACGCTGCTGCATGAATCCCGAGAGCTTCCACTAACAACAACCCCACCCTCAATCCTCTCCTCCGGCCGCTGCTGCTGCTGCTGCTGCTGCTGCGGCTCCTGCGGCTGCTGCTGCTGTGGATCCCCAGTCTTGTCGCTCCTGCTGCTGTCTCCTTCAGGCAGCGGAGGACCTTCTGCACAAGTTGAAGGGCTCTTAGGACTTGGAGCAGGTGGAGAAGGATTGGAACAGCTTGCTGCTTTGTTGCTTGTTGCTGCGTTCGATGTGTCTCCTTCGATCCTCTTCAAGCACTCTCCCACAGAAGACGAAGAACCTTCTGCTGCATGCTTAGAGGTGTCCTTGTCTGTGGTATCGTTGTCAAAGGAACGAGCTGCTGCTGCTGCTGCTGCTGCAGCAACTTTTGCTGCTGCTGCTCGCAGGCCCCAGGCACCCGCAGGTACGGGAGGGGGAGCGGGAGGGCCCTTCGCCTCACCAAGAGAAGGAAACCCCGATAAAGAAGAAAGAGATAGTTCTGATTCCCCCATCTCAAGCGTCGTTGAGGACAAGAGCAGCAGCAGCAGCAGCAGCAGCAGCAAGAGCAGCAGCAGCAGCAGCAACTGCTAATGGGATACGACACCCCACAGACGCGCAACAGAAGACGCTTCTGCCTGCAGACAGGCTACCAATTCTAAAGAAATAAATCATACCTTTATGCAAGAAGAAGAAGAAACAGCAATATACTGACAGCGTGAGCAGGGGTCATTCATGTTGTATCTGTACGGCTTAGGGCCTCTATAGGCCGTCTCCCTAAATAGCTTTCTTCAAGCTTTCTTTAAATAAAATACAATAAAAATTATCTTAATAGAACATCAACTAACCCTAATAATTCAGAACAAATGCACAAATATCTTCACAGCTCTGCAGCCTTCCCTGAGCACTTCAGCAGGAGAGCTTCTCGCTCCTCTCCTATATAATAATATATATATGTGTTTGGTGTACCGATCGGGGGGCCCCATAGGGGTAAATGAAGGGGAAAACAATAAAAATGCAATTAAATCATTTATATTATTAATTTGAATTTATATTTATCGATTAAAAACAGAAGAATACACAGAAACAAACTCTTGTGTGTTGATTTCCCCGCTCCTCCTGCAGCGCTCCCACTTACCCCTTCTATGGGGGGATCTCCTTTATGTACGGCCTTCTTCTGTTGTTTTTCTTTGTTTTTTCTTCTTAAATATCATTAAATATTCTTAATAAAGCAATATCTTGCATTCGGTAGTCTTATTATGAGCTTATATCGAGCCTACTCCTCCTCGCTCGTGTGCAGCGGGCCCCGTGCACAGTGGGATGCTGTGGGTTTGTAATACAGCAGGATAGAGTATTTAAATTGATTTAAATGCTTAATTCTGCATATTGTTTCTTAGAGAATCAAAGGCTTTAATGCTAATACAGCGACGGTAGCAGATAAACTCTGCTGCCACTACTATCGAAGAGGGTGTGTATAAACAGCAAGATATATAAAGTAGATAAAATAAGACATTCATAAGAACTGCTTTTGTCTCCTCTCCCATCTCTAATCCTCCTAAGCACAGCCTTACAGACTCCTGAGGCTGAAGATGCGGAGATCTGTTAGCCCCTGGGGAGTCGTCGTAGTTAAAAGCTCTTACTTACAGCTACTAATATGTTGATATCCCTTACACACATATCAGGAATTATCTTACTAAGTTGCTAATCAGATATAAACATTTCTATAGACAGGTTTAACGTTTTAAATAAAGTAACTATTTCTTATAAAAAGTGTATTATTCAGCCGCGCCTTCCAGTGCTGCTATATATCTATTTAGCTGCGCATTCTATATTATTCATCGGACTCAGCAAATCCTCTCTAATAAAAACCTAAACAATCAAACAACAGAGATTAAACCCAAGCCCTGTTGGCCAATGTGTACAAGGAGAGCCCAAAGAGAGTTCGCTTCTGCATATCCCTCACAACAACGTTGGTTATAACTCCAGTCTAAATAATCTTTACTAAATACTAATATTGCCCTATCTTCTGCTCTTCTCAGGAATAGATCGCTAGAGGCTCAGTGTTGGGCCTATTGTGCACTGCAGTTGCAGCCGTACTCACAGCAACGCATATTCTGTAAGACAATGCCTGTGGAGGGGAATATATCATGGAAGGAAAAGTCTAATTATAGCTGCATAGGCCTCTACAGACTGGGGATGCAGCAATCGTCACCAACGAATTCTCCGCTGCAAACCCTTAACTGCGTTTCGCATGCCCATGCTTGTAGTCGCTGCCAGTGAATTGAGTAGGAATCGTAGTTATTAACTTGGAATTGTTTCGCACAAACAAAACCCCGAAACTTACTCAAGACCCTATCCCTATATTGTCTGGGACTTCTGCGAGTCGTTACAGGGTGTCTGATGATCTCATTCCCCTCCAGTTGCTGTCGGGAGGTTTTTTTATAAAACTTTCCTAATTTCCTGAGCAGTTTTAAAAGGCTACAATAAAGGTCTTGGTGGCATATGCACTTTCGAGCTAACTGTACGATGTATGCCAACGCGTTAACCCGAAAATGAACAGCAAACGGCCTTATTCAACATACGGCGAAGGCCTTTGCCTGCTCGGCCTCCTGTGCGATAAGAACTGACTTTGAAAAATTGTTCTGCATCTCTGCAGGAGCTTCTGCCAGCCCAGCCAGCACACAGATCTGCTTTAGCTTACGAGTGCTGATGTATGAATGGCGGCGGCATGTGAATGTGTTGGGAATGTATTGGGATATGCAGAGGAATGCCGTCAAAGTCAAATGATGAATAAATTGGTAATGCATGCAGGCGATTTAGCAGTCGTCGATCCTGATAATGAAAAGCTTTTGCTACACAGAGAGAGAGCACCATCCAGCATGTTGGGGAGGAGTTGGGCTTCTGTATTGGCTACTATGAGAACACATCCAACGACATGCTGCCAGAGGATATTTTTGGTGATGAAAGTTAAACTTTTCTTCTTTTTATAGTTGCGCACAGAAATGTGTTCCCTTGGGCAACCGCTTAGTGTGTACCTACACAGCTGCACATTACTTCAGAAGCCTATAAGCCTTCATCAGTTTCAGAATTGCTATTTACCCCAAATCTTCCCCCCCTCCCACCCTCCCTATGTAGCACTTAGTGGGTGTGGGAGGAAATGCGACAGTTTTTGACGCTTCATCCTCGGGCAGCACCACTTCCCTGTCCACTTTTAAAGCTTGACTGTATCGTTCAACTGCGTGCACTCCCCAGAATGCAACTAAAGTTATCTACTCGCAACAAGAACAATAAAAGCCAGTTGACTGCTTGATAAGCTCGCCTTTGGGTTTGTGAAGGCTCAGTGCAGGCTTTACGACTGTGAGTGGAGCACTTCATCTCATCCCATCAGTGAACGGAGGAACTTCGAATTTGTTAAGCCTTCAGTAACTTTGGGGTGTATATCTGGAGACCCTTCATTTATGCTAGCCCGTCAAGTCCTGTATTTCTCTCCGTATGTACGTCAGCTATCGTCCTACCACAATTGCCGCCATTCAGATATTACAGCAACGATATAAGCCACCTCCTTTTTGCTTGTGGTCAAGAGAAGGCGAAATATCGTCCATACATTCCTCTTTCCTACTTTATCCAGCACTTTATACCATTGGTCGGCTGCTTCAGTTGCAGACTTAAAATCTGCTCTCGATCGTCTCGAGATCTTGACCTTGAGTTCTGCGGCTGTCCCACCCTTTTGGGAATGCCACAAGCAGTTGACTGCATCTACTGATTGCACTCTACTGAATACAACTTAGTCACGGCATGTTCACTTTTGAAGGCCTCATAATGCAAAACAAGAGTAAGAGTTTTATTCCTGTGCGAAGTGGGTTGGGTATGCTCCTACGCGTTGCAGCCTAGGCCTGTCGAAATGCAGCAGGTCTTGCAAAACCACTAAGGGATAAATCCATTCCTTTACTAAGGAGTTCGGAGAGCTTGCCTCTTTGAGAGAAGCATGATTCGAGCTGAAGCTGCACCGGAACATTTCATAACCTCTTTGACGACTACAAAAGGCAGAGGAGTAAGCGGTGGCTATGCACGAAAAATAATTAAGTTATCACTTGGTTTGCCGCGCTACCAGCCTCCCCTCTCCTTGGCTTTGCATGCTCTTAGCTTGGCGTTTCCATAGTTCAAGTGCATCAGAGAGCCTCATGGGGACCAAGGTGCATTCAATATTGAGCATCTTCCCTAAAAAACTTGACTTTTTGTGCCTTGTAGATAGACATGCATTATTATGGTCTTCTATGCAGATTGTGCTAACAAGTATGCTTTTTTTACTGTGTGCTGGATAGGCACTAAAGCTGGCTAGGCCGCTTGACTCATTATTGCAGGTGGGGGAAGTAGGTGATTGGGAAAGAATGGCTGAACCTGTGTTTTCAAGACATTACATCGCTTTAAAGCCATAAACTTTGTGTAAAAATCGACGAAAATATGCCTTGAGAGTTCCAGCCCCACCCGCATGCATCCCAGAAACAAGGACAACTCGTACATCGTTCAGTACTGGGGTATTTACTGCACACCTAAGTGCTTCAACAATCAAATTAAGGTAATAACGTTATAAAACTACTAGCTCTAAAAATTAGAAGAAGAGCTACTAAACGGCATATCAGCAGTACGCAGCAGTCTGACGGACCGGCGTCCGCACACACAAACAGCAAAGAGGCTCGCTCCTAACAAACGCTTTTTTATAGTGCTATCCATCAAACGTTATAATGATTTAGTTGATCAGTGGAGTCTATAAACACTGATTAGCACTTGCTTTTAGTGGGATTCTCAGGGATATTCATTTGCCGGTATCGGGTACATGCATGGACACACAAACAAAGGGTGATGCATCTATATCGTTAAAAAGAGGGAGAGGACCCCACTGGGGGCGCTGAACTGAACTCAAATGAATATTTGCTCAGCTTTCACTCTCCAACACAAGCAAGATGAAACTCATGAATGGAGCGGTTGATTTGTTGTTGTGTTCGTAGTGTCTGACCGAGAAAGCCTTTTTGGTAGTGGCCCTCCCCTTTCTCAGGGAAGTGGAGGATGCCGTTTAAATACAAAAGAAGACAGGGAATGCGAAGGAGAAGAAGAGGAAACAAACAGTAGCAACAATTTAGACTGCGGCCCCCGCGTCTCCGAGGAGGCTGATGCTATGGCACTACTTAGCCTGCCTTTTTGCGACCAGTGCAGCAGGGAGACAGACACCTCGGAGGCTCCATGTATTGAATATATTAAGAGCTCTGTTCTTCCAACAATCCAACAGGCATGAACGACTGCATAGCCGTCGCACCAAATCTAGTGCTCATTGAGAATGATGTTTGAGGGGGGTGCTCGAAGATGGGAAGTACCCAGACCAAGAAAGTGCTGAAATTCTATAAAGTTGGCAGTTCACGTTATGCGCCTTGTTATGCTGCAGGCCCTGACCGAGGTACTACTCCCTACCGACTCAGAGCTAAAACCACACGGGGACAGAGGCTATTGTAATAGAACGTAGAATACACGCATCACTTCACTGCTAGAAATAAGAAACCGTGGGTGCTTCAAAACGCAACGTATGAGAACTCCAATTATGGAGGCACTTTGCTGCGTCAACATGAGTATCAGGAAATGGTATTTCTTTTCCTTGCATCCTCATCTGCTGATAGAGGCATAGAAATTTCCCCACAGCCACTTCCCAGCTCCGGCGCAAGTATCCACGTAGAGCTGCACCTACCTGCCTGTGGAACAACGATAGGCTTAATCCTTGGGGAATAAAGTATTCAAATGGGCAGAATCTATCCTTTATCCTGCGTCTTCAATCGAGGGCACTGTTCTGGTTTCGTCCGTGTCCTTAGCTGCTGTTTGTAGCTTACGAGGAAGGATCTCTGCAAAATTCGTTGTGCGCCCTTCAAAAGGCTCGGCAAGATTGTCTAGAGAAAAATGACAGCTCATTGAAGGATCTCCAAGCAAGCCCAACAACTGTGGGCAGAGCTTCTTCAACGCGTTAACAGATTCCCTGTTTTGTATCCAAGTGTAATATGAGTGGCTTCACTTGCAGGCAAAATACTTAACTCCATAAAGATGTATTCACAAGAAAATGTAGCTTGGTACACAGCTTGTTATCTAACAGATCCAAAAATAGTCTTGTGTAATCGGCTGCAGAGATGTAGAAGCATTCGTGTGTGGGTTGAAAGCCAAGCAAAGACCGGCTAACAAGTTTCTGTGCCGGGCACTCAGGAGATAAAACCTGGAGAGTTTAACCCCTTGCTTGCTCTGGCAGGCATCTTGCAGAAGATGGCAGACAAGAAGACCGAAACGGCAACAGTAGCAGCGGCTGCAGCAACAGCGGAGCCGTGCCAACTTTCTGAGGAGACAGAAGACATTACGGAGTAGTTGCACAAATAGTTCAGCAGCTATTCGATGATATAGGGAGACTCCTATATCAGCAACTTCTAATGAAATATTTTCTCCCGTTGTAGAAGCAGCTGCTGTGCAGCTGATACGCAAACAGTTGTAACGGCACCAGGAGTTCGGCAAACTTAAGATAGTAGACGCCTGTTAGGTCAGTGAACAGGCATGGTTTAGGCCAATATTTGTTCTTCTTTCCCAACGAACAAGAAAAAAATATCTTTTTGAGTAAGGACTTCTTGAGTTGACGCTAATCTAGTACAATCGTGGGAATGAATGCGGATGTGAAGGGATCAAGAACCTACTTAATTATTACCTTCCAAAACCTTGAAGCAACTTACTCACCTACTTGTGCAGAAGGAGACCTCAACCCTGATTCTAGGACCCTAGCCTAATGTGTATGCGATTCGCCAGCCGAGCAGCGCGATAACAAATGCAACTTTTCGAGCAGTCTTTTAAGTGCTGGAGGGACCTCAAGGCCTTCGTCCCCCGTAAAGAACAGCTTCACCAAGGGTTTGTGCATCTGTTATGATTCTGCTGGTCTTAAACGCTTGTACACAGCAAAATTATTCTCTCAGAAGCTGTCTTGTGATCCGCAGTTGCTGTCGGCTGTAGAGCAACTTAGAGTTCGTGAATGCCTTGACTCTACAGAGAGAATGCAAATTACTGCTTAACGGCAGCGTGCAGTGAGAGTAATCGTTTTGAAGTAATGCGTGTCAGGCAGATTGCGAACTTGGTCCAACTGCAAACTCCAATACCCGTTTAAAAACATTAATACGCCCCAAGGCATTGCTGGGGGAGATTGTTGTGTACATTATGGCAAAGTCTCGAACGGAACCACTGGGAAACGGTTCTTAATATATATATATGTATATATATATATATGTATATATATATATATATACGGGTGAGCTCCAAAAGTTTGCAGATGCATCGCCAACTGTCCGACGCTTTTTCTTGTTCTCTGCCAACCCCAGAGTGCCCTGCGTGGAGAGATAAAGAGGATAGACGAGCAAGTGGCTCGTAAAGGCACAATGGTGCGTGCTTTTATGCAAACAAGTAGTTTCTTGTGGTTGCGCGTCTGCAGCAGAGCTGGAACCAGAGCCGCAGGAGACAGGCCTTTCGGAAGCTGCCGCTCCCCACGTTCCCTCGCGCAGAGATTTAAAAGCTCCTCCATCACGCATCGTAGTGCTGTTCCTGCACCCGTAACTTCGCTCCCAGTGCCTCTCCTCAAGCAGATCTAGTGCAACTTCGTCCGTTCTCATTCAGCATGATGACCACACGAAGAAGAACCAACCGGTCTTTTACTAGACACACCGCTTCACAAAAAGAAGGTGCACCCTGTAGAGTAGAACGAGTTTTATGTTGTTTACTGGGGAGGGAAGAAGCATCCGTGTTGCTTATTAGCCAAGCAATCCGCTGCTGGAACTGGTCATATCATTCATCACGGAGATAGCTAACGAAAACTTTTCAAGACTTCGATATCAAAAGAATTCTTCAATGGATTCGGCGGCCCATGCAGCACAGTTTCACGATTAAATCTGCCAAGGGTATCATCAACATTGTCGCTGCTGCAATCTCCCGGCGTTCCTTTTGTAGTGCACTTAAGCCTGTTAGGTACTTCTTTGTTTTTTGTCTCGTAAGGCAGCTATTCTAAAACATAACGGATATTCGGGCTAAGAAGCCTTGCAATTAAACATAAAACCCGAACAATAAAGAATTGTTTCTCTTGAGCTCAGTCAAGGCTGAAAGAACTGCCTGCGCTTCTCGATAATGCGCTCTGTGCCGCTTGCATCGACTTCGTTATCTGAAGATACTACGGCAAAACTTTCAGGCACGGGCTTACCTCGACATTACCAAATAATTCGTGTATTAAACTGGCTCAAATATGGGCTCCACTGTCATTGATATCAAGAAGAACACTTCGGTATATATATATATATATATATATACATATATATATATTCCCTGCGCCACTCCTCAGATGGAGGCATGACTAATTAATTTGTATAAGTGTAAATCTTCGTAGTCTTCCTCTGCCATAAGCAACTGAATTTGAGGATAACAGAGTCTACTACCTATGAACTTGCTAAACGGAGCTTACACCCACGTTGCATATATGTGCTGGGGAGTATTGAACACGAGATATCTAACGAAAGACCGAAGGAAAGCGAAGAAAGACAAAGATATATGCAGCTGCAACTGCATGGTGCACAGCGCGAGTACCTGCAGCTAAGAAGCGAAGGACTGGTTCTAAAGACAGAAAGGGAGGCCCTAGACAAACCCTAGGGAGGCACTAGAGCACTGATGAACAGAAAGGAAGAAAAAAGAATCTCCTCGCCAGCGAATGTACTTAGAATGCACTTTGAATTCGCAGTTATATATATATATATATATATATATATATAAACACATTATATAATAGATGCGCATCAGCATTAGCCTTATTGCCGCAGGAGGAGAGAAGGGGAAGACATCAGAGAGTCTAGGACCTTCATATATCCTTTAATAAGAAAGCAGAAATACTAATAATAACATGAGAAGCAGCAGCTTGTCTCCCTAGAGCAGCATTTAACAGAGGCTTTGGTACAACGGGGGATTTAAAGAAAGAGCAGGAAGTAATAGTAAGCCGTTTATGCTCGCCTTCTACTCTATTTTAATAAATAATCTATACGAGTATTTATTTTATTGTTATATGTAGCAACAATACAAGGAAAAGATCTTTACTGGGGGGCCCCCATACATAGGGGGCCCCCAGCTCGCTGGGGACAGCAGGGGGGCCCCCTGGCCTGCTACCGGTCTATGTCTGGCGAGGAGTTCTTATAAATTGTTCTGTCTTTGTTATTATTTGTTTATAATTGAGTTATATTTTTAATTTTATTTTATTTGTTGCTGCTTCTTTGCTTCTTTTGATGTTCTATAGAGCTGTCTCACCCGCTAGCTAGAGCTCCGCTGGTCTGTCTCGTTTGTTTTGAAATTGTGTGGATCTCCTCGCTGCTGCTGCTGTTGCTGCTGCTGCTGCTGTTGCTGCTGCTGCTGCTGTTGTTGCTGCTGCTGCTTTTATCCCTGCAGCATCCCCATTGCGTTTTGAAGCTGCTAAGCTTTCTCTTCCATCTGCGGCCTCCGGTGGCGGGGCCCCAGGGGGCCCCCCAGGGTACAGATGTGCTCAAGGGCCTCCTTCTTACCCTAGAGCGCAGCACCGTCGCATGCGCATGCAGCAGCAGCGCATAGTCTCTTTTCATATGAAAACAATTCGTGTCTTTAACAATATATAAAGGCTTCCTGATCTTGGGGGCGGGGGGCGGGGTGTAAGAACCCCAGATGGTTTATCTGTAGACTCAGTCTGCTGCTGTCACTTGTTCGGCTGTTGTTAGTGCAGCAGCAGCAGCAGGAGCAGCAGCAGCAGCAACAGCGGTAGAACCAGCAGCAAAGGCAGCAGCAGCAACAGCGGTAGAACCAGCAACAAGGGCAGCAGCAGCAACAAGAGCAGCAGTAGCAACAGCGGCAGCAGCAGCTGCTGCTGCTGCTGAATAAAGGGGGCCCTCGAGGTCATGTGGCCCTCAACTGCAGACTGCCGGGAGATCGTCGATCCCAAGGGGAGCCTCTTGAGCGCTCGCACCTCCGCTTTATTAAAAGGCATGCGTTTGGTGTTGCTGCTGTAGCTTCCGTTGTTCTTGCTGCTGCTGCTGTCGCTGCAGCTGCTGCAGCTGCCGCTGCTTTAGCTGCTTCTGCTCGCGTGGCTATTGCTGTTGGTTCTGCAGCGGCAACAGCAACAGCAGCACCTGCTGCAGCTACATCTGCTCGCGTTGCTATTGCTGCTGGTTCTGCAGCAGCGCTAGCAAACAGCAGCAGCAGCAACTTCTGCTGCTGTTTCTAGCTCTTGAATGGTGCTGCTTCTTGTGTGTTTGATGTCTTCTACTCAGGGGAGCTGGAGGGCTTGGGGCCCCCTGATCTCTGCTGCATTTATAAAATACCCCAAGCCTGGAGGCTGTCTCAGCTATTTTCTCAGGCAGACTCCGCTGTTGAAGATAGCGAAGAAGTATCATTCTGCCAGTGCGCAGCACCTCGAAAGATATATACGCACTTCACTCGTAATCGGGGGCCCCCATAGGCTAGTGGGGCCCCCTACAAGCTGCTGTGGGCCCCCATAGGGTACTGGGGCCCCCTACAAGCTGCTGGGGGGGCCTTTAAGCGCTGATGGGGGCCCCCTACAAGCTGCTGGGGGCCACCTTAGCTGATGCATGCATGCATGCTTTCGGTGTCTGGGTTGTTTGGGGCTTGTTACCTTGCTGCGGGGGTTTGGGGTTTTATTAGTAGTCGCCGGCGGAGAGAGCGTTGCTGCTGTAGCATTTGTTGCTGCTGCTGTTGTATTTGCTGCTCTGTGCATTGCTGGGGTGTATCTGCAGCTTCGTAGTGGGGATCGACGTCTCCCAGCCTGCGCCTGTAGCTGCTTATCTCTGTCAGTTGCTGCGTAGCCAGGAGCAGCCGACTGGGTGCGTTATTATAATGTAATAATTATATTATTATATATGTAATATAATATAATGTAATGTGATATGATGTAATATAATATAATTATTATATATAATATAATATAATAATATAATATAATAACACGATAATACAATATAATATAATTATAATATACTATGATATAATATAATATGATATACTATAATATTATATAATATATTCTATAATATAATACACTTTATAGTATGAGAATATATAGCATCGTACAATACAATAATTATATTATTATGTATAATATATATAAATATACAGTAATTAAATAAATAGTATTAATGAGTGAGGAGGCGAATGCCGGGAATCGATCCCGGGACCTCTCGGTGCAGATTTAGGCGGTACGGGGCTGCACCTCTCTGCAGCTCGATGTTCAGTTACGTTCAGGTGTATGGGGAGCTCTGGTGTGCATGCATTTGCAGCGCATGCACATGTTAATGTCTGCCACCAGCCCCAGAAGAAGAGGAGGGTGCTTTTGTTTGTTGCTCTTATCTGTGCTCTAGCAGCTCCCTAGGGTTTTGCGTTACTGCTTCGGGTGTATGCACAGCAGGGGTGTTGTGGTGGTGTGGGGCCCCGGAGCTGCCTATACACCTCATTCGGACTGTGTGGGGTGTCTGCACGGTGCAGATGGTTTCGGCGAGGCTGGAAGGTAACGCGGTGTATCTACTGTACGTATAATGCGCTGCATCAGCAAGACCTCCGTATTGAGCTGTCTTGTCGAGGGTGGGCGCCTTGGAAGCTACAAGTGAAGCTGCTGCATGCAACAGGAGAAGAAGAAGGAGATATTCATGTGTCTGCTGCTGCTTGGGGTGCTGCTGCACTATGCGCTCTGCTGCGGACGCAGCTGCCTCCACATGTCCCTTGTCTCCGGTTGGTGAGGGGCCCCCTGGGGGCCCCCAATCCTTCTGGAGGGTTTGATGCTTCTCGTGCAGTCTTCTTAGACCTTTTTGAAAAGCATGCAGCAGAAGGAGACCTATTGGGGCTGCTACCTTCTACTGGGAGGGGGACAAATGCTTTGTGTGAAGTATTAGCTGGGCTTCTGCTGCAGTCTCCTAGCTTGCTGCCTTGTGTAGAGACACTTGCTTCTTTTCAGGGTAGCTGCCCTCTAATGGGGCTGCATATATCTCGTGCATATGCTCGCCGAGGGCTCTTAGGGGCCTCTCTATCTTCGTTGCTGAGGTGCCTCCTTGTCTACCCTGAGGAGGCTTGTTTGCTGCGTCAGCTGGCGGAGCTGCTTCTACGAGGAGGGTTGCTGCAGCAAGCTCTTCGTGCTGCAGCATTTGCTGTTGAGCTCTGCCCCACAGTCCCCCGCTATTGGCTGTCTCTATCTCGTATGGAGATTGCATGCGGGCGCTGGGCTGCTGCTTTACTCGCCCTTAATGCTGCACCTGAGGTGTCTGTCTCCTTTCCTTGCTACCCCCACGGATTGCCTAGGGAGCTGCATAAGCTGCAGCAAACAGATCCCCAAAGAAAGGGTCAGGGGTTCTTCTCTGCTCTCTGGCTGTCTCCTGTGCGCCCTCTGTTATTACCCTTCGCCCCACAACGTGCTGCAGCACCAAACCTGCACACGCAGGGAGCTGCTGCTACTGTAGCAGCAGCAGCAAAAGCAGCAGCGCTGTTGCGCTCCCCCAGGCATGGAGACACACAAAATAACTCGTACACTTCCCGGTCCTCTGTAGACATACCCTCGGATGCCTCAAGACATACTAACGCAGCAGGAAGCAACAGCCCTAGCAACAGCAGCAGCAGCAACAGTAGCAGCAGTCTGTCGGGAGGCTGGGGCGAAGCTGGGACAGCATCAGCAGCAGCAGCAGCAGCAGCAGCAGGCCAGGGGCCTTCGCTTACCCAGCCGCTGGAGCACAGAGGTTTTGGTGTCTCCTTTGGGGTTGCAAAGGGCCTGGAAGAAGCTGCTGCAGTTTCGGCGCATGCAGCGTTGTTGTGGGGCGAGCAGAAGCCCCAAGGGCCCCGAGCGCATGCAGAGGGGGCCCCACCGCCTTGCATGCGTTCGCAAAGGGGGGGCCCCACACCCAATCTTATGCATGCACTTGCTGCTGCTTCTGCTGCTTCTCCTGATCTCTACGAACAGAGACGGTATCAAGTACTTGTTGCTCTTTATAAACGGCTGGGCCTCAAAGGCCTCACCACCCTCCAGCAAACTTTATTCTTGCACCAGCGCATCCCGCAAACACACACTGCAGCGGCGCAGCAGCAGCAGCAGCAGCAGCAACAGCAGCAACAGCAGCAACAGCAGCAACAGCAGCAACAGCAGCAGTGGGTCCACCAGCAGATCCAGAGTCAGCAGCAACATCAGCTCCAGCAGACGCTGCAAGAGGGGGAGAAAGAGCACCAGCAGCAGCAGCTTCAGCAGCAGCTGCAAGAGGAGCAACAGCAGCTCCAGCAACAGCAACTCCAGCAGCAGCTGCAAGAGGAGCAGCAGCAGTTCCAGCAGCAGCAGCTCCAGCAGCAGCTGGAAGAGGAGCAGCAGCAGCTCCAGCAGCAGCAGTTCCAGCAGCAGCTGGAAGAGGAGCAGCAGCAGCTCCTGCAGCAGCTGCAAGAGCAGCAGCACCAGCTCCAGCAGCAGCAGCCGCTGCAAGAGCAGCAGGGGCAGCAGCTCCAGCAGCCGCTGCAAGAACAGCAGCAGTTGCCTTGCGCTGAACGGAAGCCTGCTGCTGCAGGAGACAGCAGCAGCAGCAGCGCAGCAGCAGGCGAGGCCGGGCCTTGTAAAGGGGGCATTCTCTTGAACAGCAAAGCTGCACATACACCCCAAAGCTCCATGTACACCTCAGGCCTTCCGCTGTATGTGTTGCCTCCAGAGTCTCCTGCCTATTGCAGCAGCAGCAAGAAAAGGGAAACGCGGCAGCAACAGCAGCAAGTAGAGACCCAGCCAAAAACGCAGCAGCAGCAGCATCCGCAGGAGGAGACTGTCTCCTTACCTCTCCAGTGCGTTTCTCCGTCTGAGACAGAAGCAGCAGCTACTGATTCTGCAACTGGTGCTGCAGCAGCTGCTGCTGATGCTGGTGCTGCGGAGCAGCTGGACAGCCCCACACAGCAGCAGCACAGACCCCAAAGCCCCACAGCGCAGCCAAAAGGAGACACCGGAGAGACGCCGCAGTCAGCAGCAGACGGCTGTACACACGGAGACAGGCAGGAGACCCCTATGACCACAGGGGACCTGCAGCAGCAGCAGTTGCAGCAGGAGCAGCAGCAGGAGCCTCACCAGAACGTGCAGCAGCAGCACAAGCAGCAGATGCACCAACAGGAGCAGCAGCAGCAGATGCAGCAGCAGCAGAGGAATCAGCAAGGGGAGCAGCAGGAGCAGCCTGTACAGCAGCAGGAGATGCAGCAGGTTTTGCAGCATCAGCAGCAGCAGATGCAGCAGCAGCATGCACAGGAGGAGACACTTCCGGGCCTTGCGGATTCACCTGGGGCCCCATGGGGCCCCTGCAGCGGAGGAGACTGCAGCATAAAGACTTCGATGAATGGGGTGTCTCCATCTGATGGCTGCGCTTCTCGCCGTCCTCTGTCTCCTTCGCTTGCTGCGCGCCTGGCGGTGAGCCTCTTGTTGCTGCAGCTGCAGCAGCTGCAACAGCAGCAGCTGCAACAGCAGCAGCTGCAACAGCAGCAGCAACTGTTGCAGAAAGACAAAGGTGCAGTGTAGGAGGAGACCAATAGGCTGGCGCCAGGGAGGGCCTTGTCTGCTATCCCTGCTATTGCTGTTTGCTGCTGCTGCTGCTGCTGTTGACGCTGCTGCTGCTGTTGACGCTGCTGCTGCTGTTGCTGGTGTTGCTTCTGCTGCGCGCACTCAGGACCTCGAGCGCGACGTGTCTCTGTTTAAACTTGCAAAGGAGACTGTCTCCTGGAGGAGCCTCACAGAGCAGGGACAGCATCAATCTTCAAACTGTCTCCTTGCTGATTCTCTCTTTAGGGGCTGCCCCTCTGAGCTGGGGGAGTATTGGCTGCACAGGCAAGCAAGCCATAGCAGTAAACATACCTCTTGCTGCTGCTGCTGCTGCTGCTGCTGCTGCTGCTGCTGCTGGCGTCCTCAAGGGGTCTGGTTGCCTTGGGGGCTGCTTCTGTTGCTGCTGTTGCTGGCGCCCTCAGGGGGGAGTAGCGTGAGAGATAACTGCTGCTGCTGCTGTTGCTGCTGCTGTTGCTGCTGCTGCTGCTGCTGCCTTCAGGGGTGCTCTTTGCGAGCGTTTGCAGGAGTGGGAGGAGATGGAAGCAGCATATCGCTTGGCTATAACTCAGGGGGTGTCTCCTTTTGTGAGTATTATGTTGCTGCACTGGGGCCTCCCTTTGCATGCAAACAAAGCCCCAAAACCGCATGCAGTGCATGCATTGCATGCAGCAGGCAGCATAATGATTATTAAAGAGGTTCCTGAAACTTCTTGCCCTCAGTAGTTGCATGCATGCATGCAGACACCTGACGACTGTTTGCTTCACCTCACCAGAAGGGCGGCAGCACAAGTAGTAGTTGAGAGATCGCATTCATTGTCTAGCAGATGCAGCAGCTAGCTACCGATCCATCTAGGTAGCTAGCTAGCTAGCTAGCTCCGATGGTAGCTAGCTGCCCTGGCGATCTGTACGTGGATGCCCACCCATAGCTAGCTAAATAGCTAGCTAGCTTAATAGCTAGCTGCTGCTGCTGCTGCTGCTGTGCTTGTCAGGCGCTGCGCGGTTTGCTGCGGCTGTACGTGCGGCTGGGCCTTGTGGTAGAAGCTGTAAGGGTGAGCTGTGTTGCAGCGCAGCAGCTGTCTTCTCTTTGCTGCGAGCAGCAGCTGCTGTTTTTACCTGCTTGGCTAACGAATGGATTGACGAGGCTGCTGCAGAGGTGAGAACATCACCTGCTTCTGCTGCTGCAGCTGCTCATTCTGCTGCTGCTTAGCCTGCTACTGCTGCTGCTGCCGCTGCTTACGCTCTGATGTTGCTTAGCCCGCTGCTGCTGCTGCTGCTGCTGCTGCTTAGCCTGCTGCTCCTGCTGCTGCTCATCGTGCTGCTGCTCATCCTCCTGCTGCTTCTTATCCTGCTGTCGCCGCTGCCGCTGCTCATCCTGCTGCTGCTGCTGCCGCTGCTCATCCTGCTGCGGCTGCTGCTGCACATTCCGTGGCTGCTGCTCATCCTTCTGCTGCTGCTGCTGCTTATCTTGCTGCTGGCGTTGTTGCTGCTTCAGTGGGTCCTGCTTCAGCTGCTGCTCACCATGCTGTTTGTTGTGCTCCTGCCGCTGCTCATGCTGCTGCTGCTAATCCTATCCCTGCCGCTACTGCTGCTGCTGCTGTTGCTGTTTGCATGCATGCGGGGCTGGCTTCCCTTTGTGCTGCAGCGAAGGGATAGAGGCGGTGCTGCAGGCTGTCTCCTCCGTCCCTCCTCATGAAATGCATCCGCTGGTGCAGCAAATAATCGATACACACAAAACACAACTACAAGGAGAAGGCTGACAGACAACAAAAAGATGCATGCATGCATCTTTTTGTTGCATGCATGCATGTATCTTCTTGAATGCATGCATGCATGCGTGCATGCATACTCTAGATGCATACACGCATGCGCGTATCTTCTTTCGTGCATGCATGCATGCTGCCCACTGGTGCTGCAGTTAATAGACAAGTTCATGGAGAAGGCTGACAGAGAACGAGAAGAGGATGCATGCATGCATCCATACACCCAATAGAGATGCATGCATGCGTGCATTCATGCATACACGCGATAGAGATGCATGCATGCTTGCATGCATACATACACCCAATAGAGACTCAATCTGTCTCCTTTCTGTGAGACAGAAAGGAGATATAGGAAGGAGACAGAAACGGAGACAAAGAGATAGACAAAAAAACAGATAGAAGGGAAAGGAGGCAGAAAAGAGACAGAACAGCAACAGCAGCAGCAACTGTGCCGTAGCAGCAAAACAGCAGCAACAGCACAGCAGCTGCAGCAGCAACTGTGCTGTTTTGCTGCTGCACCAAAGAAGCAGCAGCAAACCAGCAGCAGCAGCACAGCAGGAGCAGAACTACAGCATGAGAACTGCAGAAAAGAACTACAGCGGCAGAGCTACAGCAGCAGCACTCGAGCAGCAAAATAATGGCAGCAGCAGCACCGCAGCAGCACCACTCCAGTAGCGCAAGCGCAGCAGACCAGCTGCATCAGCAGCGCTCCAGCAGCAGCGCTGCAGCAGCGTAACAGCAGCAGCAGCGTTTCACCAGCTGCAGGGGTGCATCAGCACAGCAGCAGCAGCAGAGATGCATGTTTATTTGTTTCTCTCAGCCAATAGAAGAAACGAAAAAGGGTTTATGCTGTCGATATGCGATGCGCTGTTTAATAAACACCCTCTTCACTTGCTGCTACAGAACATAACAGAAAAAAAATCCTAAGGGCTCTCCTCCCTCCTACCATCGGGCCCCATGCATGCATGCAGCGCATGCATGCAGTGAATGCATGCATGCAGTGCATGTAGTAAGCGCATTCGGTGAGTCCATGCATGCATGCTGTGCATGCAATGAGTGCATGCATGCAGTGCATGAGTGCATGCATTAAGTGCATGCAGTGAGCGCATGCATGCAGTGAGTGGATACAGTGAGTCATGCAATGAGTGCATGCATGCAGTGAGTGCATGCATGCAGTGAGCGCATGCATGCAGTGAGTGCATGCATGCAGTGAATGCATGCATGCATGCATGGGGCTGCAAAGGGTTTTTCTTCCTTTTGCTGTCATCCATCTCTCCTCCCTTCCCGCAGCACGAGCAGCAGCAGCAGCAGCAGCGGCAGCAGCAGGAGGGTGTTTCGTTAGCTACTGGGAGCTGATTGTCTTTGTTCTTTTATAACAAGTAGGCGTCATAGAAGGAGACAGTGGGGGCCCCTCAAAGGCGCTGCAAAGGGGTGTCTCCTCTTGATCTCCTCTTTTATCTTCATCATCAGAGACAGTAGAGCTCAGGCGTCTCCTTTTAATTGTCTTTTGCTGCATGCAAAGGGGTAGAGATGCAAGCGCAAGCCCCTCTAAGGTCCTGCTGCTGCACAGCGCTTCTTGAAACCCGCTGCTGTCTGCTGTCCCCTCACGTCTTGCTGCTGTCTCCTGTCTCCTTTCCTCTGTCTCCTGACGCCTTCCACGCATTTCAGCCTCCCACCTGTAAAGCGCTGCACGCGCCCCCCTGCATGCACACAAACCCTAAACCCTAAACCCTTGGGTAGGGAGACACTTGCAGCTCGGTGGTCTGCGCGCAAAAAAGAAGCTGCTCTGTTCCTCCTGGTCCAGTTGCTGCAACAGCTGCAGCTGCAGCAGCAGCGGCAGCCACAACAGCAGCAAGAGCATCAGAAGAAGCAGCAAAAGAAGCAGGAGCAGCAGCACCACCGAAAGCAGCATCAGGAGCATTAGCAGCCGAACCATCAGCAGCGACATCATCAGCATCAGAATAAGCAACAGAAACATGAGCAGCAACAGCAGCATCGACAACAAATGCAGCATTAGCAGCAGCAACAGCAGCAGCAGCAGCAGCAGCAGGATGAGCTTCTTACATTCTGTGCTGTTCTTGCTTCCTTCTAAGAAATCGCGTAGTTGTTGTTGTTGATACAAAGAGACAATCTGTTGCAGGAGTACGAAAAGAAGGAAGCCTTTGGGGCTTGCTGCTGCATGCAGGAGATGTGGGGAGGTGCTGCATGCATCCCCCGATCCCCACAGGTGGCAGCCGCCGCATGCAGCGCGAGCGCATGCAACGAGCAGCAAAACAACTCGGGGGGCTGTCTTCTGCTGCTGCTGCTGCTGCATGTACTAAGGGGGCGCCCACAGGAGGGATATGAGGGTGTGCATCAGAGACGCCACTGCAGTGGATTGCGGCCTGCTCGCTTCCGCTGCTGCTGCTGCTGCTGCTACTGCTGCTGCTGCTGCGATCGCCGTTACTGCCGCTCCCCCCGCTACCGCTGCCGCTGCTGCTGCTGCTGTTGCTGCTACTGCTGCTGCTGTATGATGATGGGGCCACCCTAGAGAACATCGTTTGCTGCTGCTGTAGGGCGTGAGCGAGCTCTAACCTTCTCATTTGTTCTGTAAGGGAGTCTGTATTTTCATTTAAAGGAAGATGAAGAGCAGATAAAGGTAAAGGACTGCGTGTGCAGGTCTCCATAGCTGGGAGGTAGGGGGGGTGCTGCTGGGGGGGGCCCCTGGGGGCCCCCAGAGGGATTTGTGGTTTCATTGCGAGTAAATAATAAACCTTTTGAAGATATAAGACAAACAAAACGCAAAAAATGAAAGAAAAATAGCGCCTAGAACATACACCGCCTACAGACAACCTCAGCAGCAAACAGGGGTCACCTGCAGCAGCTGCTGCGCTGCTGCACTGCAGCAGAAATGAAGCAATATGAAAACCCTTTTATTTATTTAATTAACTAGCTAATATTAATATGCGAAGAAAGAAAATATACAAGAAGGCAGAGCAGCAACAGAACAGGGGCCCTCTACTGCTGCTGATGGGGGCCCCCCTCCCCTTCGCGTTCAATAGACAGGCGGAGCTGCGCAGGTGCTGCTTCTGTGCATGCTTCTGGGTTTGTTTTGTAGAGAAAATTTATTTTAATTAATATTAAACAATTAAATTTTAAAAATAATTCAAAAAGAATACAAAAAATGCAGAAATATACCCCTCCCACTGTAACGCGAGACGGTGCTCTCCAATGGTCTACAGCCAACCCCCACAGCTCCCCCTCCCTTATCTTTTGTTTTTCTTCTTTCTTTGTTTAATTAGTGCCTATTAAAATAATTAAATAAATTTATTTAACTCGTTACAGCTTTAAATACCCCTTATTTGCATGGTGTGCAGGTATTGTCGGTGCTGCATTACTCTGCGTAGCCCAGCACATCAGGGTTTAGTAGGGTTTAGGGTTTAGTAGGGTTTAGGGTTTGAAGGGGACTTCTCATAAGAAGAACAGGAGGAGCGTAGCTGCACCGCAGCAGCAGCAGCAGCAGCAGCAGTAACACCTGCAGCGGCAACACCAGCAGCAGCAGCAACCGTAGCCCCTGCAGTAGCATCAGCGCATGCTGCAGCGGCAGCAACATAAACAACACATACTGCAGCAGCAGCAGCACCTGTAAGCCCTGCAGCCGCGGCAGCATTTGCTGCACCAGTAGCAACTGCAGCCCCTGCAGCAGCAGCAGCACCTGCTGCAGCAGCAACAGTAGGAAGGAAGCAGCAACCCATCCCATAGCCAATAATACTATTATAATAATTATGCGGGTATAGACATCAGAGGGATGCTTCTACACAACATAGGCGCTACCGTCTTATATTATAATAGATAATGTAATAGCAATAGTACGTTATAGCAAATAATTAATAACATGTATATATATATATATATATATATATAATTGATTACTTATATTGTGCCCTCTCTGTTGCATGGAAAGATATCAACGGAGAAGCTCCGAGCGCCTTTCGGTTTTGCTGCTGCTGCTGCTGCTGCTGCTGCTGCTGCCGCTGGTGCTGCAGCTGTTCGGTAGCAGCAAAGCACGGGGTGTATGTACACTGCAGCTGTCTCCGTTTGTCTGTCTGTCTCCGCACAGGCAGCTGCCGGCCCCACTGCAGTGCAGCAAGCAACTTGTTGGGGCTGCATGCAGCACATGCATTGCATGCATTTTTTGGGGGCTGCATGCATTGCATGCGCTGCACGCATCCACCATAGGAGTTGCATGCAGCGGATGAAGCGCGTGCGTTGTTGGGGCTGCATGCAGCGCATGCATCGTTGGGGCTGTTCAAGAGCCTACATATTAAGGAAGGGCTACAGTGGAGAAAGAGGAAACAAGTAGAGAGAAAGAAGAGACAAAGAGAGACATAAAGGAGACAGCTGCACTCCCCTACATTTGTTACAAGCGGCTGCACTCCGTTTAAAGTCTACACACAGACAAAATCCCAAGTACTTCTTGCATGCAAAGGTTGCATGCATGCACTGCGTGCATAGATTGCATGCACGCAGCGCATGCATGCAGTGCATACGCAGCGCATGCATAGATTGCATGCATAGGCTGCATGCACAGGTTGCATGCATGCAATGCATGCATGGATGGATTGCATGCATAGGTTGCATGCATGCGCTGCATGCATACATTGCATGCATGCTTTGCACGCATATCCTGAACCAGAAAGTGCTGCTGTTGCAGCAACTGCTGCTGCAGCTGCTGCTGTTGCTGCTTGCGGCAGAAAGGAGACAGTTAGCAAGCGCGTAGATCTACTTTGATAGAAGGGCCCATAGTGGTGCATATATGAATACACTGAATAAGTTTGTTAATAGGGGCAGCTCTTTGCCCTGCATGATGCTGCAAAGGAGACAGCAAAGGAGAAGAAGCTGCATTAATTAAAGATCTTAAGAAGGCTTTAAAGTTTGCTAGCAGCTGTACAGCAGAAAGAGACACATACCCCACAGGTGCATGCACAACCCCCCAACGGTCTGCAGCAAATTGAATAGTAGGCTGCCTATACACCCGAATCGCCTCCACTGCATCTCCTGAAAGTGTCCCCATTGCAGCAGAAGGGATCAGGTTGCGGCGGCCTAAAGGAGACAGAAAGAAAAGAGATATTAACAAAAGAGATATTAATAAAGGAGACAGAAAGAAGAGATATTAACAAAAGAGATATTAATAAAGGAGACAGCAATAAAGGAGACAGCAATAAAGAAGACAGCAATAAAGGAGACAGAAGGAAAAGAAATAGAAAGGAGATAGAAAGAAAGGAGACAGCAACAAAGGAGAGATAAGTAAAGGAGACATACATAAAGAAGACATAAGGAAAGGAGACAGAACCAGAGGAGACATAAAGGGGACACTAATAAAGGAGACAGCAATAAAGGAGACAGAGAAAAAGGAGATAGAAAGAAAAAAGACAGAAAGAAAGGAGACAGAAAGAAAGGAGACACTAAAATAAATACAAAGAAGATATGCATACGTGCAGGGAGAAACAAAAACAATAAAAACAAACAAAACAAACCGTGCAAAGAAATAAGGAGACAGAGAAAGGAGACACTCATAAATGCAGCGCAGTGAGGCCAACCCCATTAAGGAGACACTTGCTTATTTGTTTTGTATGTTTGTTATTTATTATGTTCATTGCAGGTGTATATATATATATATATATATATAGAGAGAGAGAGAGAGAGAGAGAGAGGACAGAGAGATAAAGAAAGGAGACACAAAGGAGACAGAAAGGAGACACAAAGGAGACAGAAATAAACAGAGAAAGGAGACATAAAGGAGACATAAAGGAGACAGAATCCTTACCTAGAGCCTTGCCGCAAGCACCAAGTGCAGCCATCTCTTCAGGTGTAGAGATAACAACATCGGGGGCGTCTCCTTTGTCTCCTTTTAAAGCAGTTAAAAGGGCTTCCCTCCCCACAATATCTGCGCCTGCAGAGGAGACAGACAGCGACAGAGATAAATATATATATATATATATACATACATACATACATATATATATATATATATATATAGAGAGAGAGAGAGAGAGAGAAAGAGAAAGACAGATAGACACCCCATAAGCAGAAGAAAACAAACAACAAATATAAAACATAAAACAAAAAGAAAAGAAATGAGAGAAAGGAGACTGAAAAGGGCGAGAGGAGACAGTATGCAACAAAGCAGCATAAACAAACGAAGAGGAGACAGCAGACACATTTAATTGTCTCCTCCCTTCTGTCTCCTTTTATATAAAAAGCAAAACACCCACCCCACAGCAGCACCGGGAGGACCAAAATCAGCAGCAAATAGCAGCAGCAGCAGCAGCAGCAGCAAAAGCACAAGGAACACCAGCTGCTGTAACAACCGCATCAGGAGCAGCTGCAGCAGCAGCAAGAGCCCCTGCTTCAGCAGCACCCGCAGCAGCAGCATCCGCAGCAGCAGCAGCAGCAGATATATACATACCTGCTTCCCTAGCAGCTCTCTCTTCAGAAGGATGTACAAGTGCAGCAATTATACGTGGTCTGCGCCAGATGCCTCCCTTCTTCTTCCCTCTAACAACGAGGGCCTCCGCTGCAGGGGGCCCCTGTTGCTCTTCTTTCTCTGCTGCTGCTGCAGTTGCTGCTGCTGCTGCTGCTGCAGCGGGGGGGGCCCCCGGGGGCCCCCTACGGGTTGGAATAACACCGTAAGGCAGTACGACAAAACCCTGAACGCGTTGGGGGCCCTTCGGTGCTGCAGCATCTTTTGTTTTTGTTTTTCTTCTTTTCAGGTGTACATGCACCTCCACAGTTTCGTCAAAGTTAGCTGTAGACAACAGCTGGCAGAGCAGCAGCGCGCAGCTGGGTCTAAGTGCTGTCCCTTCTCGCGGCAGCAACGCATCTAACAGAGATATTGGGGGCCCTTCCGGCTGCTGCTGCTGCTGCTGCTGCTGTTGCTGCTGTTGCTGCTGTTGCTGCGCGGGAGGGCCCCCAGATGCTTCTTCTTCTCCCTTTAATACCCCAGCAGATATTAAAGCTGCTCGGTTCTGCAGCAAACGCCGGAGCTCCCTTGCATACAGCGCGCGGGGCCCCACACTGAGGGCTCCTCCCCCCGCAGCAGCAGCAGCAGCAGCAGCAGGAGCAGCAGCAGGAGGGGCCTCTCCCTGCCACTCCGCTTGCGTTCTCGAGATTAAACTGTCTCCTTCTTCTTTGTCTAGTGTCTCCAACATCTTTTCAATCTTTTCTGCTGCCCCACGAAGAGCAGCTTGCTGCAGCTTGTGGCGCAGCACACTGCCGGTTGAGGGGCCCCTGGGGGCCCCCCGAGTAGATTTTGTATTATCTCCTGCTGCTTCCTGAAGAGCTTCATTTGCTGCTGCAGCAGCAGCATCAAGCAGCGTCTCCCCAACCTGCAGCTCCTCCAGCAGGCGCCAGCGGCGTCCCTGGGGTCTCCGTTGTGGGGGCAGCTGCAGCAGAGATTCAGGAGGCTCAGCAGCAGCAGCAGCAGCAGCTGCTGCTGCTGCTGCTGCTGGCTGCTTACTTAAAGATGCTGTGGGGTCCACAGGCCCGTAAATATAATGCCGATGCCAGTTCTGTCTCCTGTCTTCTAAGCGGCGTTGACCGATAGTCAGACGAGCTGCTGCTGCTGGTGCTGCTGCTGCTGCTGCTGCTGCTGCTCCTGGTGCTGGTGCTGCTGGTGCTGCTGCTGCTGCTTCTGGTCCTGTTGCTCCTGTTGCTGCTTCCGTGCCTGCTGCTGCTGATCCTGTTTCTGCTGCTGCTGCTTCTGCTGACGGAGACGAAGGTGGGGGGCCCCCAGGAGTTTCTGCTGCAGCATATGAAAGGTTGTAGTGAAAGGGAGATAGAGGGGCCCCCTGAAGGGGCCCCCGCCTGTATAGGGGCCCCTGGGGGGCCCCCCGGGGGGCCCCCCAGCTGTTTTTAGGGAGACGATCAATCCCCTGCTGCGGGGGAGGTGCGAAAGCAAACCGACAGCAGACACATACAGGGTGGAGCAGCAACAGCAGCAGCAGCAACAGCAGCAGTAGGTGTTGTTGCTGCTGCCGCTGCTGCCCCTGCTGCAGCAACAGACAGACGCGACTCCTGCGGCCTTCAGTGGACCGCAGAGGAGGAGAGACAGTTGTTCTGTCTTTTAAAGAAACCCAACTCATCTTGTTTCCCCTGCTGCTGCTGCTGCTGCTGCAGCAGCTGCTGCTGCAGCTGCTGCGGTTGCTGCTGCTGCTGCGTAGCTGCTGCTGCTGCTGCGCTTAGGCAGCAGCAGCTGCTGCTTTAAGATATCAGTTGTGTTGTCTTGCGCTCTATACAAGGGGTGGAGGCGGGAGGGCCCCCTAGAGATGTGGGGGGCTCCCGCAGTGTATAGGGGGCCCCCGTCTGTACCCTCGGGGGCCCCTGTTTGTCTTCATATATAAGAAGGGAAGTTTGCTGCAGGGCTGGGGGCCCCAATCCTTGCGGCTTATATCCCTGTAGAGGAGACAGAGACAGAGAGACAAAGACAAATAGACAAACAAAGTAAAACTTGAACCTAATACCCTCTTGTGGGGGCCCCCCTCTAACTAACGCAGCAGGGGGGCCCCCCAGCAGCAGCAACCAGCAAACAAAATATCAAAGGAAAGCAGCGACTGTCTTCATTTGCACATTAAAACGAAATATCAATGAAAGCCCCCAGCTGCTTCCTTCACGCTGCTGGGGGGCCCCTTAGGGGCCCCTCTGCAGCGGGGGGCCCCCTGGGGGGCCCCTGGGGGGCCCCCTGCAGCAACAAGGTTGCTGCAGGAGAAGCTTTTCTGCGTTTCTTGCTCCTTTTTAAGACTTAATGAGGCTTTTAAAATGATATTTATTTGCTATCTGCACCTTGCTGCCCTAGGGTAGTTCTGGTGGGGCCCCCCGCTTGTTTGTGCTTCTGCAGCAGCTGCAGCAGCTGCAGCAGCTACAGCAGCAAGAGGCCCCTATAGGGCCCTCCGCTCCAGCAACACAACGTTGGGGGCCCCCTCTGCTGCTGCTGTATACAGCGAAGATAGAGACATCTCGTCGCTTGGGGGCCCCTAAACTAACCCCTGGGGGCCCCCTAAGATATCCCCTGGGGGCCCCCTAATCTGCCTTCTGGGGGCCCCCCAAGCTGCGTTTCTGGGGTCTGCTAGGCAGAGGGGAGGGGGACCCCCACGAAGACAGTGCAGCATATGAGGTTAAGTCTCTGCCGGGGCCCCCTATCTGTTAGGGGGGGCCCCCCTTGGGGGGCCCCCCAGGGGGGCCCCCAGCTACGCAACCTTTGTTCTTCTGGGTGGGGGAGTAGAGGGTACTGGGGGGCCTTCTGTGCTGGATACAGCAGGCCTTTTAAGGGGCCCCTAAGGCAAGAGGGGGCCCCCCATATGTTAGGGGAGCCCTCATACTTAAGGGGAGTTTGTATGACAGGGAGGTACAGCAGAGGGTACTTAAGGGGGCCCCTAGAGACGGGTAGGGGCCCCCATACCTTATCAGGCTGTCTACAGCAGGGGGGCCCCCTAGTGTTGCTGCGTGTGTCTGTACCCTATAGGGGTGGCTCCCGCTGCTTCTCTTCTTATTTATTAAGTTGTCTCTCCCCTCAAGAGCTGCTGTTGCTGGCGCAGGAGCTGCAGCAGCGGCATCTTTATGCTGCGCAGCAAACCCTTTCTGCTGCAGCGTTTGCTGCAGCAGTGCGTCGCGCTCAGAAGGCAGCAGCACCCTTGGGGGCACCCGTGGGGCCCCCCCCATTGGGGGCCCCCAAGGGGGCCCCCCTACACCTGCAGCAAGTGTCTCTAGAGGAGGTTTGGGGACAGCTGCTCTTCCTGCTGCACGGGGCCCTCCATCAGCTGCAGCCGGAAGCTCTCTGCTGTCTCCTCCGTCTCCTTGCTGCTGGGGGCCCCTGTTCTCAGCAGCAGGGGGCCCCCAGCTTCGGACACCCTCTTGGCAGGGGCCCCACAGGGGAAGAGGGCGCCTCTGTAGGTGAAGAGACTCAGTTATATGCTTCTGCTGCTGCTGCTGCAGCAACAGCAGGTGCAGCAGGTGCAGCAGCAGATGCAGCAGCACATGCAGCAGCAACAGCTGGAGAAGGGACCCCTAGGGAAACCCACAAAGGGCCCCTCTTTATAAGCGCAGGAGAGCAGCAAATCCGCATTAAGGAAGGGGCCCTAGTTGGGGGCCCCTACTCTATCTCTAGCTTGTTGCAGAGCTTGGAGGTGCTGCTGCTGCTGCATGCAGAGGAGCTGTCTCTTCTAAGTGCTGCTGCTACTGTCAACTGTCCCCAGCTGTTGCTGTCCCCCTTCGTAAAGCTGCCTCAAAAGCTGCTGCAGCGGAGACCCGTTGATGCTGCTGCTGTTGCTGCTGCTGGGGCTGGGGAACCGGGTACGGGCAGCAGCAGCAGCAGCAGCAGCAGCTGTCTCCTTTTGGAACTGCTTCTGCCGCTGGGGGGCCCCCTAAAGGATCTCCTTTTTGCCTCTTCGGCTGAGGGACAGTCGGAGACTCGAAGGGCCCTGAAGCGCATTCTCACTGCTGCACCTGCTGCTGCTGCTGGTGCTGCTGCTGCTGCTGCTGGGGGCCCTTCGTCGGAGTCGCCGCTTGAAGGGGCCCTCATCGAGGTCTGGCATGCTGCGCTGTCTCTAGAGCTTCACTCCCCGTTGCTTGCTGCTGCAGCACTGCAGCTAGCAGCAGAGACATTTTATTTGCTGCCTACGAACAGTAAGGGCCCCCCAATTGCTGCTGCTGCTGCTGCTGCTGCTACGATTACCCAGCGGTCCTGTCTGCTGCGGTTGCTGTTCTTCCTGCTGCTGCTGTCTCTCTTCCTGTCTCCGCTGCTGTCGATGTTGCTTTCTCTCTTCGGTTTGTCTCTGTTACCTCATTTTCTGTCTCTGCTGCAGCAGCAGCAGCAGCAGCAGCAGCAGCAGCAGCACCAGCAGCAGCTGTAGCAGAAGCAGCAGCAACAGCTGTAGCAGCAGTAGCACCTGCAGTGTGTGTGTGGGTTCGTGGGTCTGCAGCTTTATTGCTGCTGCTGCGTTGCTGCTGCATGCACCTCTCCGCCTCCTCAATTACTTACAAAGGCCTTCGCCCCATTCAAGTGTCTCTTCAAGAAGTTGGGGGCCCCCAGGGGCCCCCTGAAGTGTCTCTTCAGGGGGTTGGGGGCCCCCCGGGGGCCCCCTACTGCGCAGTATCCCTAGAAGACACAACTCCCCTGGCGGTGTCTCTCTTCCTACGAACAGCAGAACAACTCAATAAAAATGTAAGCCGTCACCCCCCTTATAAGCAGCAAAAGGGCCCCCAAAGGGCCCTCAAAGGGGTCCCTAAGGGGCCCCTTGAGGGGCCCCTAATGGCCCTCTAAGGGCCCCCAAGGTGCCCTTTAAGGGTCCCCAAAGGGCCCTTTAAGGGTCCCCTAATGGGCCTCTAAGGGCCCCCAAAGGGCCCTTTAAGGGGCCCCTAATGGCCTCTAAGTGGGCCCTAAAGGGGCCCCAAAGGCCCCCTAAAGGCCCTTAGGGGGCCCTAAAGGGCCCTACAAAGCGCTGTAAACCCTAAACCCTAAACCCTAAAGCGTTGGGGGCCCTTGCAAGTGAATAGAAGAGAAGGAGACAGGGAGATGAAGGAGACAGTTGGGGGTAGGAGACTGTGGCTGCGGTTTGTTATTAGGCTTTGGTGTTGTCTCCGCAGCAGTTGCTGCTGGCCCTTGAAGCATTTGCTGCTATGCGATTTTGCGTAAGGAGGAGAAAGAGACAAGGCCCCTGCTGCTGCTGCTGCTGCTACTGTTGCTGCTGTCTCTTTATCTCCCCTCGCTGCTGCTGCGTCGCAGTTGCCGCTGCTTTTGGTGCTGCTGTCTCTTTGGTGTTTTGGCTGCTGCTGCTGCTGCTGCTGCTGATTCGCCCTCTCCTCTTGCTGCTGTTTCTCTCTCTTTCTGTTCTGATGCTGCTGCTCCTGCTGTTTCCTCTTCTCGTCTTGCTGCTGCTGCTGCTGTCTCCTTCTCACCTTTGCTGCTGATGGTGTCTCTTTGTCTCCTGCCGCTGCGGCTGGTGCTGTCTCTTTGCTGCTGCTCTTGTTGTCGCTGCTGCTCCCGCCGTTGTTGCTGCTGTTGTTGCTGCTGCTGTTGCTGCTGCTGCTGCTGCTGATGGGTTGCTGCGCACCTGGGTGTCTCCTGCTTCAAGACAGCTTCTGTTTGCTGCTGTTTGTCTCTGTCCCTTGAGGCAGCCTGGGGAGACAGCAGACATTTTGCTGCGTTGTTTGCTGCAGCAGCAGCTGCAGCCTTTAGGGTACGCGTTTGCTGCTGCTTGCTGCTCCTTGCTGCTGCTTGCTTGCTGCTGTCTCTTCAAGTGTCTCTCAACAGCAGCAGGTTGTGGGGCCTTTTGTCTGTCTCCTTGTCTCTTCTTCTCTCCCTCTTTTCTGTCTCTTCTCTGTCTCCTTTCTAACTTTTTGTTGTCTCCTCTTTGTCTCCTTTTGTTTGTTTCTTTCTGCTGTCTCCTCTTCTTCTGTCTCCTTTGCTGTCTCCTTCTTCTGTCTGCTCTTTTGTCTGTCTCTTGTGTCTCTTCTTCTGTCTCCTTGGCTGTCCCCTTCTTCTGTCTCTTTCTTTTGTCTCCTTCGCTGTCTCTTTCTTCTTTCTCTGTATATTTATTTATTTATTTATTTATTTATTTATTTTTATTTATGTGGGGCCCTTGAGGGTTTGCAGGTTGGCGGAGACAGTCGCCGCCCTGAGACTGCTAAAAGCTATGCAAATTGAAGACCCCCAATTCCTACAGGCAAACCCTAAACCCTAAACCCTAAACCCTAAACCCTAAACCCTAAACCCTAAGAACGCTATACCCTAATGCATGGACAGCAATTCCTACAGGCAGAACCTAAACTCTAAACCCTAAACCCTAATAACGCTAAACCCTAATGCATGGATAGCAATTCCTACAGGCAAACCCTAAACCCTAAACCACCGCCAGGCAGCTCTTTCTGCCCAAGCTAAAAGGAGACACCTGCTTGTAGACATGCCTTAATTCATAAGGAGCTGGGGCTTCTTAAACCCTTTCTGTCTCCTTTTGTCTCCCCCTGTCTCTCCTTTTGTCTACGGTGGAGCAGCTGTCCTGTTTCTGTGTCTCCTGCTGCTGCTGCTGCTGCAACTGCTGCTGCTACTGCTGCTGCTGCTGCTGCTGCTGCTTTTGTGTCTTCTCTATAGAAGGCGAAGGAGCAGCTGCTAGAGGCAGCAGAAGAAACCCCTTTGCTGCTGCTGCTGGGGGCCCTAGAAGAGCTGCAGCAGCTCGGCGTCAGCACTAAGGCCTTGTGTATAAAGGTAGGGGGGTTTAACTGTCTCCTTTATCTTTCTGTTTCTATTACTTTCTGTCGCCTCTCTATCTCTCTCTGTCTCCTCTCTATCTCTCTCTTTCTGTCTCCTCTCTCTGTCTCCTCTCCCTCTCTATATCTCTCTATCTCTTTGTGTCTCTTTCTGTCTCCGCTGTCTCTCTATCTGTCTCTGTCTCTTTCTGTCTGTCTCTATCTCTTTATCTCTATCTTTCTATCTCTCCCTCTCTCTCTCTCTCTGTCTGCTCTGTCGTCTTCTGCGTTACCTTATTACAAACTGCTGCTGCTGTTGTTTTGGGGCTGCATGCAGTTTGCTGCCCGACCTCCCCGAGATTTCCTTTCGCTATGTAAGCTTCTTTTGTGCTGCTGCTGCTGCTGCTGCAGCTGCTGCAGCACGAACACCTTTAGTCTCTGTCTCCATCTTAGGCGTCTCCTCTCGCTTTTTATTTGCTGCTAACAGGAGAGACTCTGCAGCTAGCTGTGAAGGTAGCAGCAGCTAGTGAGGGACGCCTGAAGGGCCCCCAAGGGTTTTGCTGCTGTTTTGTGTCGCCTTTGCTGCTCTGCTGCAGCAGCAACAGAGACACACACTCTACGTCGCTGCCTCCAGCGAGAAGGAGTCTCCCTCCCCAGCTGTCTCAAGGTGTCTCCTCTCTAGGTATCGAATAGGCCCCAAAAGGAGACACTTCCCCGCAGCTGTCTCCAGCAGCAGCTGCTGCAGCAGCTGCTGCTGAGGCTACGGGCGCACCTGCTACTGCGGCGGCGGCTACTGGCGCAGCTGCTACACCCGCTGCTGCTGTAGCAGCAAATACAGCAGCAGCAGCTGCTGCTGTGGTGCTGCAGCTGCTGATGCTGCCGCAGCAAAACCTGCAGCAGCAACAGCATGTAGGGTGCGCTCTCTCGTTTTTGCTTTACCCCAACGCAAACCCTAAACCCTTAGAACAGACTGCAGCAGTCCATCCCCGTCTCCTCTATCTGCTGCTTAACTTCCTCTGCTATCTCTCTGTCTCCTCTCCTGTAAGCAGCACTCTTCAGGTGTATCTACACAAGCTACCCTAGATACCTTAGCAGCAGCAGCAGCAGCAGCAGCATCAGCAACATTCTTCTGTAAGCCCTTGTCAAAGATAAACGGAGCCAGGGGCCCCAAAAGTGTCTCTTTCTTATAGTTGGGGAAAGAGCACCACAGCAGCAACGCTGCTGCGCTGCAGCAGCAGCTGCATCAGCAGCAGCAGCGAACCCCACAGTCCCTTCATAATAACCCCGTGGGGTTCCCTAGGCGCATTTGTGTTGTCTGTGTTTGTTTGTTTGTTTGTCTCTATCTATCTCTTACTTCGCCAGATAGGGGGCCCCTCCTTTACGGGTGAGGGCCCCCCTCTTTAGGGGTTGGGGCCCTTAAGGGTGAGGGCCCCCCTCTTTAGGGGTTTGGGGCCCCCCCTCTTTAGGGGTAGGGGCCCCTCTCTTTAGGGGTGAGGACCCCTCTCTTTAGGGGTGGGGGCCCCCCTCTTTAGGGGTGGGGGCCCCCCTCTTTAGGGGTGGGGCCCCCCCTTTTCGGGGTAACTAAGGGGCCCCCATATAGAGATGAAAGGGCCCCCCTTTTAGGGGTGGGGCCCCCCTCCCCTAGGGGCGAGGGGAGCAGCACCAGCCCCCGAGCCTCCCTCTTGTCCCCCCCACCCTCTACTGTCTCTTCTGTCTCCTCTCAACCCCACATTGCGCCCCATATAAGGTAAAGAGCTACACTCATCCGGAGACATTTGTCTCCTTCTACCCCTCACCTCCCCTCCATACACCCCAGGGGGTGGGCCCCCACCCCCTTCTCCCCCTACTGAACCCTCTAGGGGCCCCCCAACTCGACGCTTAGGCCCCGGAGAGTCTCCTCGCCGCCGGGGGCCCCCTTCTGCATGGGAAGAAGGGGGGGGGCCCCCAGGGTGGGGGCCCCCACCCCCTCTCTCTGTCCAAAGGACTTCTCTTCTACTGCTACCACCCCAGCCATAATTATCATGCACTGCATGAGCGGGGGGACCCGAGGGGGCTCCACACTCTTCGCGACGATCCCGAAGGCCCCGGGATCGGGATCGATCGTCTCCCATGAGGGGGGGCCCATTAGGAAGGAGGGCCCTCACCTGTCTGTCTTGGGCTGAGTGAGAAGAAGGGGGGGCCCCTCCTAAATAGGGGGCCCCTGCTCCCCCTTTTGGTGCTCTGGGGCTTCTACTTCTGTGTCTCCGTCTTACGTCTCCTGCAATGAAGGGCCCCTCTCCTAGAAGAGACCCCTCTGCACATCTCCCTGCCCTAACCTCTGTTTGTGGAGGGGGGGCCCCCATTAAATGGGGGCTCCCCCCAGAGGCGTGGGGTGACCCTCGTCTCCTCCTCAACTCCGTGTGGGGTCTTCGATCCCAGGATCGGGATCGGGATCGGGAGCGGGATCGGGAACGGGATCGGGATCGGGATCGGTCGATCCCCCGGTATGGACCCCCACCCCCATGCGACCCGTGTCCCCCACGCGTGCGTCGTGGGGAAGGGGGCCCCCGGGGGCCCCTCTCTCTGTCTAATGCGAGACGAGAGGAAGCCCCCCCACCTCCCCCAGCTGTCTCTCCTGCTGCAGCAGCAGGGTATAGGGAGCCCCGCGGCGAGGGCCCCCTATCAGCCAGAGGCCCTAGAGCATGAGG